AAATGTCAATGGTTTGTATTCCTGAGTGAGAAAGGTATCAGTGTAAATATGGTAACATTTTATTCAACTTATCTTCATTCTGAATGTAAGTATACACACACACACACACACATTCAGTACGGGAATCAGTACGGGAATCTACTCCATAATTATTACTATCCAGCAACTACTACACTTGACATCACTATGTGTGTGGAGTACAATATAGTAGTTATTTGTAGCCTCAGTGATTTAAACAAACGTTTGTTTTCAAATTGGTAGAAATTATTTCAACTAATACATTATTGATTTTTTTATCTTTGCAATTTGATTTTCAGACAAAAAAATAATTGTATATTCCATAATTTCAAACAAACTACAATTTCAGGCACTAACTCCAGAATCACTGGCTTAACTAAGTAGCATCTTCATACTAATTATTGTCTTTCATTTGGCATTTTTTCTCACCTAACAGTTTTATGTAAAACCTCTTGTTAGGTAGCCTTTCACTGTATCCTTTCAATAAAGTGCAGCTTGAGCTTAACAAAAGGGAGTTTCTAACAAAAACAGTGACAGAGGGAAGAGTAGCAGAGGCATATTGTTCACTAAGCTGTACATATAAATACTCCACTGTGTGTTGGCCCACTGTAGACCTAAAATGGCTGTATTGCAGGATGTTGTTGCCTGGTGACCAAGAGTGCATTTCCTATACCACAGAGGGATGTGAAGACTGGAAGACAGATTAGCTCCTACTGCTCTTAGAAGACTAAGATACTAAAATGAATTAATCCTGAAATCAACATGCTAAATACTCCCTTCCTGTGTATGGTAATAAAACTGAATGTGGCCCTGTGATCCTCAGATTTTCATTATGCATACAACAACTAAATAAGAGAACAACTTTGACCAAGCTTAGTTTATTCACTGCCCATGCCATTAATAAGAAGATTAAAATCTTGTTTATGTAAAATAGCAACTTATTCTTGCTTCAGTGAAGTCATTGCTACTTGTCTAGTCCATCCCGGTGCAAACTCCCACCTGCTATCAGTGTCTTTTTCTTTCATTAGAATCAAGTAGTTAATTAGCCCCAGCCTGTCCTCTTCCCTTCTCTCCTTGCCTTTAATGCAGCAGTAATGATGTCTAATTACCAGTAGCAGTGGATTATAGAACCTTCAGGAGCAAATCACTCTGGTTGATAGCAAAGCACAGTTTAAAGCTTCAAGGAGAAAATAATTCCGGACAAATTCATTTTTAAAAAATTTTGTTGAACCAATTATTTTGGAGTTTAAAATTTCTGGAAATGCTTAAATAGTAAGAATTATCATTAGTGATTCATTTTATATTTAATTTTTTTTTTTTACATATAGTGGCTTTTCAACTTGTGAAAAAAAGTTTTTTATTATACTGGGCTGGAAGTTTCTCTCTGCACCATGAATATTAGTAAAAGCAGTTAATAATAATAATGTAACAATCAAAATTTAACAAGTAGCACACATATAAATGATTAAACTCTTCTATGACTACTGTAGGTTGCTGGAATGAATGAATGAGGTGGCAAACTGCTAAGCAGGCTAAAACATCTGTCCATGGTGCTGGTGTATAAAGTTGAATGGCTTCATACATATTTTATGAGAAACTTGAAATTCTCTCTGAAGTCAACCAGCAATAAACAGCAATATGGCCAAGGCCACCCTGCTTTTTTTCAAGTGGGGCCAAAATATGTTCTGTGTTTCCACGGGATGTTACTGAATTTGATTTAAATCTAAAAGAAACTATTTTAATTCTTTTTCTTCTACCTTGGTCTGAAATAGGACCAAAGTGTGAAGCTATCCTTGACCACATATTGTGCCTAGAGAGATGGTTTGAGTTTTGTTTTTGTTTGTTTTTGGGGGGGGTCAGTAGTTTCTCTGTAAATAATTGTAGTCCATGTTACAGAAACCAATTTAGTAAAAGACATCTTAGAAACCTAAAGTTATATTTAGTCTTAGCAATATTTAAAGTAAAATATTTGAAATCCATTAAACTTTATTTATCTTTAAATGGTAAGCCACCCTTTCAAGTCAAAATCCTTCTAATAAAATATTAATAAAACTAAACACACTGAAATGAGGTACAAATTAAGAGCAATACAATTAGACACCAGATCAAAGGATGAAGCTCATTTGGGATATGGCTTGGAAAAATAGATCTATAGGATTTTTCTTAAAAGCTGGCAGGTGGATCCGTAAGTATGGAAACAACATGGAAAGGTCTTCTCTCCTATGTTAATCTACAGACTTCAAAGCAGAGCAAGGACCTCTCTTCCTGACTTTACAATACAAGCAAGTTGTCACTAGTAAAAGCACATTTTGAGGGATCTGGATTCCAACCATTTAAAGCTCAAAGGTGAGAACCAGCACTTTGAATTGGGGCCCAGAAATGTTCTGGTAGCTAGTACAGTTGCTACAGTATAGAAGTTACATATTTTGACTACTGCATCAAATCTCAAGCAGCTGCATTTTTCACATGCTGAAATTTCTGGGCCATTGTCAAAATAAGTCCTACTTGCAGCTAATTACAGTAGTCTAATTCAGATGCTACTTCTGCATCCTCTGCAGGCAGAGCCACAAATACTAGCCTAAGTTAGTAAAAAGCATTCTTGGCACTGTGTAAAACTGAGCTTCTCCAGCTTGAGTGTTTCATTGATTTAAATGCCTCTACTTTGATTGAGCTTGGATCCAATTTTCAAAAGTGAAGATTTTACATGGTCAAGGAATGATGTGCCATAGTAGAAAGTAATGCAATCTCGAGATAATTCACAGTTGTGGAGTCCTTGGGGTTCTCTGAGCTTGGTTGTTTTCTTGCAAATGTTTGCAATAAAAGAACCAACCTCAGAGAACCCCAAGGACTCCACCATTCAACCCTGAGCTACACATATTCTCTTCTATTGATAATTCAGAGTGCTGTCCTACATCACATTCAAGCTCCTGCATTGCACTGTTGTCACTGAATGTACAGTAATACCAAATATCATAAGAACTGTTATGAAAATGTTATCAACATATATTGTGCTGATCATTTCCAAGACTGTGGATACTATCCTGTATCCTGGGGGAAAACTCCATTGAACTTGGAACAGACATGCATAGGATCACACTACAAACATTTAAAAGATTAAGTAAAAATGTATCATATAGTTGTTGCTTTGCTAATTCAAGCAAACAAGTAAAATGTTTAGATTAATATATCAAGAGAAATTCTAGCTAGATAACCAGAAACAGAATCCAAAAGAATTAAGTTATTCAAACTTGTAAAGCAGCACAATTGAAACAGAATACTTAATACACATAAAGCCCAAAATACTATTTATTTTGCTAAATGTATTATGTTGTAAAAAGGAATCAAAAATAGATTCTTCTTTTCCTTCTCACTGAGTTGTTTTTTCTCAAAATGAGTTTTATGCTCCATTTTGAGTCATTTTGAGAAATAAAAGATACCATCCACAAACCTTTATTTAAAAAAAAACTATAAGAAACTATGTATTTTACTATTTTTCATACTTTAGTTTCATTATAATAAAGGCTTTTCAGAGGTTTATAGTGAATGTAACTATTATAATACTGGGTATAATCAAATGAGTTTACAGAAAATAATTTTTGGTGAATTGCCCCAAATCCCCAAAACTTTCATATCACGTGGCAGTAAATACCTTTAACCCTCAGACAAGCCAAACAATAAACAGTGCTTTAAATAACCTATTTTGTAGTCTAATTTCTCATTTTAAGTCATTTAATATACTTATATTCTTTGGCAAATCATGTATGTATGTATGTATGTATATTACATTACATAGGCATATAAAAGTATTGATATGTTACTGCAGAGTCAATTAGGCATACGATTCTGGCATTTTCCCCTGCATACCTCCACTACATCTTAATGCTTTGTTTAAAAACCTTTCCCCCTATCAATCAGGAAAACAAAAACAAAAACAAATCCTTGCCCAACTTGAGATTGCTCTGAACAAACCCCAAATGCTAATATCAAAAGTATAGAAGTGGGTTTACTGTTCACGTTGGAATAAAAGAGGGCCAGCAGAGAGGCTCAGAAAGCAAGAAATACAGAAAGGAGAATGTCAACCTACTTGTAACCAACAGTTTCCGTCTTCTGAAATAGGAAAGGCTGCCTCCTGCCACCGCCACAGCCCAGCATCCTAGCCCTGGTCCTCTTAGAGTCCGCCCTCAGATTGCAAGCCTCCACCTCTGCAAGGCTCCCAACACTTCTGGGCTGGATCAACTGAGAGCGAGCGCGCGAGAGACCAATTCCCTCATTCGGTCATGTGCGAGCCTATGGCTCTTTTGTTGATTACCCTGCCCTCCGCTTCTACAGGCAACCAGCCAGGCACGTCCCTACTGCTCAGGGGATAAAGGCGAACAATGAAAGGGGAGAGCTGATATTCTAGGGAAACCCCAAATCGCCGACCGTTTTGGTGCGGTGCCAGTAAGGATCCACTGTGCTGTCGATCGGAATAGTCTTATGGGTAGCGCGAAGCTACAGGACTCACCAACGCACACACACACGTCTCTTTTAGTTTAGGGGACGAAATAAGATTTCCCTTTTCCTCGTTCCGCTCCTCCCCCCCCCCTTAAGAAGAAGGGAAAGAAAGGAACCAGAGAGACTTCGTAGAGGGGTGTGTTTTCTGCACTTGCAACGTAAAAGCAAGGAAGAATCACAAAGCCCTGAGCAGTGGAGAAGGTGCCAGGCAAACGCAACATG